AATGGTCAAATGATACAAGAAATGTTACAGAACTGAAAGAAATGAGTTTCCCAATTGAAAGGACACTTCCAGAAAACCTTTAAGTTACCAAGAACAAGAATCTCATGGGACTTCTAACAGAACTTCTAGAAAATGGAGCAATGATCTCAAAATCGAGAAAAAAATTATTTCAAACTCAGAATTCGATAACCAAATGATCAACTAAATTAAGTAAAGATGTTTTGCAGGCATACCATTAGTTTCAAGACCAGCCTGACCAACATGGTGAAATCCCATCTCTACTAAAAATAAAACAATTAGCTGGGCATGGTAGCACACACCTGTAATCCCGCTATTCAGGAGGCTGAGGCAGGAGAATCCCTTGAACCTGGGAGAAGGAGGCTGCAGTGAGCCGAGACCACCCCACTGCACTCCAGTCTGGGCAATACAGCAAGACTCCATATCAAAAAAAAAAAAAAAAACACACACACAACAAAACAAAAACCTCTCATCCACTTTTCCTCTAAGCAAGTGAGGCTATGCTACACCAAAACAAAGAAAGTAAATCAAGAGGACATGAGATACAAGAAACAAAGTGTCTAACTCAGAAAAGAGGTGAAGGGAATTCTCAGGCTGATGACAAAGGGAAGTCCCAAGAGCACAGCTGCATAGTAAAGAGGAAGAAAAACCAGTCCGGGTTGGAGGAGTCTGTTAGTAAGGGTATCTTAGGTAGAAAGACAATCAATCAAGCAATGTTTTAAGCTGAAATTGATGGGATTATGTGACCAGTATGACCACATTTGAGGGTTTAAATTGCTGAGTTTAAGTAAACAAGGAGTAACACAACATAAACAAACCAAAAAATAAAGCAATTATTCAGTCCAGGAAAAACAAAACTGCATAACAGGGGCAATTCAAATGCAAAAATATTTACCTTATGATATTTATATAAATGTGAAATATTCATTTAAGCAAAAACTGCAATAACAGTACTGAAAGAATGAGGGGCAAACCAAAGTGTCTGAGGACAGTTCGGGAGGAGCATAGTAGAAAGTCAGTAGAAAATGTCTAAAATGGGGCTGGGCGCGGTGGCTCACGCCTGTAATCCCAGCACTTTGGGAGGCCGAGGTGGGCGGATTACGAGGTCAGGAGATCAAGACCATCCTGGCTAACATGGTGACACCCCGTTTCTACTGAAAATACAAAAAAAAATTAGCTGGGCATTGCGGCGGGTGCCTGTAGTCCCAGCTACTCGGGAGGCTGAGGCAGGAGAACGGCATGAACCCGGGAGGTGGAGTTTGCAGTGAGCCAAGATCGTGCCACCGCACTCCAGCCTGGGCAATAGAGCAAGACTCCGCCCCAAAAAAGAAAAAAAAGAAAATGTCCAAAACGGGAGAAAGGGAATTAAAAATAACAAAAGTATATATGTGTGTTACTCAGAAGTATGAAGTATAGATGTAAAGGGCAGAAAAAACAACTAACAGCCGTCAAAGGCGCCTGCTTGTAGTCCTAGGTACTCAGGAAACAGAGGTAGGAAGATCATTTATGCCCAAAAATTTGATGCCAGCCTGGGCAACACAGCAAGACCCTATTCTAAAATAATAATAATAAGAAAAAGAAGAAGAAGAAGAAGAAGAAGAAGAGCTGTCAAGTAGCCTTTGAGAAGTAGGAATCAGCTGCAGAAGAAGAAACCAACTTGACAGAACCTAGAAAAACTAAACAGAAGCCAGAAAAACTAAAGAATTTTATATATATATATTTTTTTTTTTTTTTTGAGACAAGAGTCTTGCTCTGTCACACAGGCTGGAGTGCAGTGGCGCAATCTCTGCTCACCGCAACGTCCGCCTCCAGGGTTCAAGCAATTCTCCTGTCTCAGCCTCCCAAGTAGCTGGGACTACAGGTGCCTGTCACCACGCCCGGCTAATTTTTGTATTTTTAATAGAGACGGATTTTCACCATATTGGTCAGGCTGGTCTCTCGGCCTCCGAAAGTGCTTGAATTACAGGCGAATAATATTTTTAAGAAGGGCAAAAGCACGTGAGGAGAGTAGAAAAATGGCAAAACAAAGAGGAGACTAACAAATGAAAGCACAATGGAAGACTAGAAAGATATGATACACAGACACATCATCACACTCCAAAACTCAGACATTCTAGAAAGCATGGTCAGTTCACAGATGGCCAGCCTCTGCCAAACTGGGGGAGAATACTAACCTCTTTATATTCTTCACAGTCACTGCCTCTTCTCCCTCCATTCTTTACCTTCTATCCAAGCACACTGTTTTGTCATTTCACTCAAACCTAACTTTATAGAATAGCTTCACATGTTCCAAAGTTACTCACTAGCTAATCCATATTCCACTGAAATCCCCCAGATTCTAATGTAAATGACTTTCAATTTGTTTGGGGGAAAAAAAAATTCTTTAAGTGTAAAGAGAGAGGTGGTCATAACAATGAATCCTCAAAATTTTGCCACCACTCCACTTTATTTAATGGAAAAGTTATGTAGTTGAAAGAACATTCTAACTTCTGTCTAGACCAGTGGTTTTTAATCTTTTGGAAGCCAAGGTCCCCCCTAAGAATCTCAGAAAGGCTCTAAGCTTGCTTTTTTTTTTAATTTTTTTTTTAAGCTTGTTTAAAAAAAAAAAAATCAGGCTGAGCAGAGTGGCTCACACCTGTAATCTCAGCACCTGGGGCCAAGGCGGGAGGATCACTCGAGCCCAGGAGTTGGAGACCAGCCTGGGTAACATAGTAAGACCCCGTCTCTACATTAAAGAAAAAAATTAGCCGGGCATGGTGGTGCATGCCTGTAGCTGGCATGCCTGTAGTCTCAGCTACCCAGGAGGCTAAGGTGGGAGGATGGATTGAGCCCAGGACGTCAACGCTACAGTGAGCCATGATCCCGCCACAGCACTTCAGCCTGGGAGATAGAAAGAGACCTTGTCTCAAAAATAAAATAATGGCCATTGCAGTGGCTCACGCCTGGAATCCCAACACTTTGGGAGGTGGAGGCAGGGAAATCACTTGAGCCCAGGAGTTCGAGAACAGCCTGGGCAACATGGTGAAATCCAGTCTCTACCAAAAATACAAAACAAAACAAAAAAAAACAAGCGGGTGTGGTGGGTGCACCTGTGGTACCAACTACTCGGGAGACTGAGGTGGGAGGATCGCTTGAGCTGGGGAGGTGGAAGTTGCAGTGAGTCCAGATACTGCCACTGCATCCAGCTGGGTGACAAGAGTGAGTGAGACCCCACCTCAAAAAAAAAAAAAACATAAAAATTAAAGTCTTTAATTTCAGGAGTTACTGGAACCCTCAATAAGGTCTGTTTTAGACTCTATCACCACGTTCATATTTATGACTACGCCAGCAGTTTGAAATTACAATGTACAAGTAGGTATCTATTCCTCCTCTCTGGAGGAACAGGCTGTAACTTACTCCACAGTTCCCAAGAGAAACTAAATCAGACCCACTGCCAAAATTCTGCTGCACTTCCTATTTGACCCTGAACAGGTATCTTTAATCTCTACAGGTCTCAATATCCACAGGGCTGCTGGAAGCACAAAATAAGATAACCTACACTTAGTTATGATAAAAGACACAATTGTGCTGCTATTATAATCATGGTCATCCGTGAGTTTGTTTGTTTTTTTGATTTTTTTGTTTTTAATTTTTATTTTTGATGGCGTCTCCCTCTGTCGCCCAGGCTGGAGAGCAGTGGCACGATATCGGCTCACTGGAACCTCCGCCTCCCAGGTTCAAGCCACTCTCCTGCCTCAGCCTCCGGAGTACCTGGGACTACGAGCGTGCGCCACCACGCCCGGCTTTTTTTTTTTTTTTTGGAGTTTTAGTAGAGACGGTGTTTCAACATGTTAGCCAGGTTGGTCTCGAACTCCTGACCTCAGGCAATCCGCCCTCCTTGGACTCCCGAAGTGGTGGGATTACAGGCATGAGCCACCGGGCCCCGCCAATATCCTTTTAACATCAACAATAAAAACAGTGACTTGTAGCTAACATTCAGTGCTATGTATCAAGCACAACCCTAAATGTTTAAAATGGATCCTATCAAATTCTATCAATGTTACAACTCCACCTATGGATGAAAAGTGTAACTGGCCCCAAATACCCAGCTTATGAACGACAGGGCTGATTATTCAAGCCAAAGCAAACTGACTCAACATTCTGTGCACATCCACCTTTAATAGCTTCTTCCATCACTCTTTAGATCCAATTGCTAAAGTCTTATTGAATCCAAAACAGATCACATTATTTACCTATAAAGAGGAAAAATATCCTAAGAACATTTGTGAAAAGGTTAAAAATTGTAAGCCATACTAACGATTTATAAGAAATTTATAATTTTTTTTTTTTTTTAAAGCAAAAGCAGCTACCAAACTGTTCTGGGGGTGGGGGAGGTGAGTATGAGGAGTGGAGCTGGACCCTTATAAAGGGACAGCGACAAACACCTCATACTCAAAACAAGGGGACTTCGCGTGTCATCTGCGCCGTCGGGCCGTTGCAAACGTTCGCGCTGAGATCCCTACGTTGTCACTCGTCACAGCCGCCAAAGCGCACCCGGGAGCTGCGTCAGTCCCCACTGGGTTCCCCCAGGCCAAGGAGGTACGACCTCCGCCGCAACACGTAAAATGTCCGGGGGATGGGAAGAATCCCGCCGACATAGCACCCGGGTGCCCAAGCCCCCCGAGAACTAGGCCGCGCCGGTACTACGCGGCGCGCGACCGGCCAGAAAGCCCGGGCCAGGGCGGGCCCACGAGCGAGGACCGTCGGGAACAGGCCGGGAGAAAGAGGAAGCGCCGGCGCCAACGGTCTCCCGCCCACAGCGGTCCCCCCAGGGCTCTCCCTGCGCTTGCCAGCGCCACGCCGCCCACAGGACCGCGCTAGCCGGCCGGCGCCTCAACAGTGCGCGCCAGGGAGCAGCGCCCGTCGGAAGCCATGACGCCCGAGCCTTGCGAGGCCGCCGCCCGGCCAGGTCGAAGCCGTCGGTCTCTTCGAGATCCACTCACCTCTCGAGGCGACGGGGCGGAGCCCTGCACCGAGGCGATGTACCGCTCCACGTCGGCCTTGCTGCGCCTCATCGCGCCGCCAACCTGGCTCCCGAGGCGCGGGAGACCAGCGCTCAGCCCCGCAGCAGTCGCAACTTCCAAGAGGAAAGCGCCTGCAAACCAGTGACGCAGCGACGTCGCCGGCGGAGGACCATCCCGACGAACTTGCGTACTGCGTCAGCACTGTGCGCCACGTTGGCGACGTCGGCGCTAGAGCTGCACACAGCCGGGCTCTTGGTAGCTCCCTGGGTTCTGAGTGGTGTCTTGGGAAGCCGGGATCAGATTTCGGCCCCCGCGTCCACAGCGTGGGCGTAGATTTCCAGCAGATAACAATTTGCGTGATGGGCTCTTAAGCGTTTTGGTCGCTTGTTCTAAATTATAAGTGCGCCACGCATTGGAAGAAAAAAGCCCTCAGGCGAAGTTGGTGAGCGTGTAAATTGGAACAACGTTTCTGGAGATGACTGGTTAAATACGTTGCATCGGACATGTGTGAATACTAAAGTATACATTTTAAAATTCGTATCTATTAAAAGAAATGAGGGCCGGGCGTGGTGACTCACGCCTGTAATCCCAGCACTTTGGGAGGCCGAGGCGGCCGGATCATGAGGTCAGGAAATCGAGACCATCCTGGTTAACCCAGTGAAACCCCATCTCTACTAAAAATACAAATAATAATAATAATAATAAATCAGCGGGACGGGGTCGCACGCACCTGTAGTCCCAGCTACTCGGGAGGCTGAGGCTGGAGAATCGCTTGAAACTGAGAGGCGGAAGTTGCAGTGAGCTGAGATCGCGCCGCTGTACTCCAGCCTGGGGGACAGAGCGACACTCCGAAGACTTCCTCTTAAAAAAAAAAAAAAAAATCCGCGCATTTTCAAATCCGGCAGTCAGTGCTGAGGATGGAACTGTCAGAGGAAAAGTCGGACCTCTCTATATGCCGGCCCCTCGAATACTGTATTTTCTGTCGGCTTATAAGTGGACCCAGGCAGTTCAAACCCATGTTAGTCATGGTTAACTGATACTAAAGTATCAAAACAAAAACAGTGATCTGGCTGGGCGCGGTGGCTCACGCCTGTAATCCCAGCACTTTGGGAGGCCGAGGCGGCCGGATCATGAGGTCAGGAAATCGAGACCATCCTGGTTAACCCAGTGAAACCCCATCTCTACTAGGCACGAGAATCGCTTGAAACTGAGAGGCGGAAGTTGCAGTGAGCTGAGATCGCGCCGCTGTACTCCAGCCTGGGGGACAGAGCGACACTCCGAAGACTTCCTCTTAAAAAAAAAAAAAAAAATCCGCGCATTTTCAAATCCGGCAGTCAGTGCTGAGGATGGAACTGTCAGAGGAAAAGTCGGACCTCTCTATATGCCGGCCCCTCGAATACTGTATTTTCTGTCGGCTTATAAGTGGACCCAGGCAGTTCAAACCCATGTTATTCCAGGTTCAACCGTGTATATAGGAATAACCATTTGCCCCACAGAGTGGCTCAAGCCCGTAGCCCCAGCACTTTGGGAGGTCCACGCGGGAGGACCCCTCGAGTCCAGGAGTTCCAGGTTACAATGAATTATGATAGCGCCGCTGCATTCCATCCTGGGCACCAGAGTGAGACCCTTGTCTCAGAAAAAAAAAAGAAAAGAAAAAAGAAAAGGAATAGCGCCCCAAATGTATATATATTTCACTAGCAGAATAACAGGGCATACCAAAATTTAACAGTAATAATGTCAAGATTTTGAACCATCTGTATCTTCCAAATCTTCAAAAATGTCTATTTTGGGAATTTGGATGTTAAACTCTTACTTTTAAAACAAGATTTAACAAAATGTTTTTAATAGTGAGAACCTTTTACATTTTAAAAGATCACATTTGTGTAAACATTACGGTCTTAATTATGTGGGCAAATATCAAATGCGTTGACATTTTTAACTGGAAATTTAGACTATTTTGGTTGTGGATAAATTTTTATCCTGTTTGTTTTTCCATATTTTCTAAATTTTGTATAATGAACAAGTATTGCCTTTCTAAAAAAAGGAAAAACAGCATTTTGTTTTGTTTTGTTTCAACCATACTGGATGTGAATAAAAGAAAAGAAAAAGATGATTCTGAGCTTACCAGTATGTGTGACCCACATTAACAGAAATGACATGTAAAGAAAATCTAGTTTGGAGTGGAAAATCCTATTTTAGGTAGTTGATTTCTTTCACTTGAGGTACCATTTATATATCCATGTGGGATAGGCTAGTAGGAAGATGAAATGGTAGGACAAAGATCCTGATGGAAGCCAGTAGTCATGGCACAGTTCGGAGGCCCAGCTACTCCAAAGGCAGAGGGAGAGAAATCCCTTTAGCCCGGGAGTTGGAGACTGCGATTAGTTATGTTCATGCCTTTGCACTCCAGCCTCTGGAAGAGAATGAGATTCCTATCTCTAAAACGAAAAGAGGGCTAGGCACAATGGCTCACACCTGTAATCCCAGCACGCTGGGAGGCCCAGATGGGCGGATTGCTTGAGGCCAGGAGTTCAAGACCAGCCTGGCCAACATGGTGAAACCCCATCTCTACTAAAAATGCAAAAATTAACTGGGTGTGGGGGTGCATGCCTGTAATCCCAGCTTCTTTGGATGACTGAGGCACTGGAATTGCTTGAACCTGGGAGGTTGCAGTGAGCTGAGATTGTGCCAATGCACTCCAGCCTGGGTAATAGAGCAGACTCTGTCTCAAAAAATAACAATAATAATATTTAATTAATTTTAAAATAAAAACAAAAAGAGAAGATCTGATGGACTTAGAAGTCATAAACCTCGGCTGGGCACAGTGGCTCACGCCTGTAATCCCAGCAATTTGGGAGGCCAAGGTGGGCGGATCACGAAGTCAGGAGATTGAGACCACCCTGGCTAACACGGTGAAAACCTGTCTCCACTAAAATACAAAAAATTCTCTGGGCATGGTGGCGGGCACCTATAGTCCCAGCTACTCGGGGGGCTGAGGCAGGAGAATGGTATGAGCCCGGGAGGCGGAGCTTGCAGTGAGTTGAGATGGTGCCACTGCACTCCAGCCTGGGCGACAGAGCGAGAAAAAAAAAAAAAAAGTAATAAACCTCAGGTGATAGGTGAAACCACGAATTTGCCTTGAAAACTGTGTTGGTAACAATAGCCATAGCTAACAAGTACTTGCTGTGTTCCAAAGCTCTTTTTTTTCTTTAGCACTTCACTTGTATTAACTAATTTCGTTCTTCCAACAACTTTGTACGGGTACTGTTATTATCCTCGGTTTTTACAGATAAGAAAACCAAAAGACAGCCAGGCACCATGGCTCATGTCTGTAATCCAAAACTTTGGGAGGCTGAGGTGGGAGGATCACTTGAGCCCAGTAGTTCAAGACCAGCCTGGGCAATATAGCAACACCCTGTGCTTACAAACAAAAAGAAATTAAAAACTAGCCAGGCATGGTGATGCATGCCAGTAGTCCCAGCTATTTGGGAGACTGAAGCAGGAGGATCTCTTGAGGCTAGGTGTTGGAGGCTGCAGTGAGCTATGTTCACCTCACTACATTCCAGCTTAGGTGACAGAGAAAGACCCTGTCTCCAAAAAAAAAAAAAAAAAGGAAACCAAGAGAATGAGCACTGAAGCAACTTGCCCAAACACACTCACCTTGTAAAAATGGTATCGTTAATCCATTTACATTGAATGTATTGCAAAGGAGTGCCCAAAGAGAGAATCTTCTTTTTTGTTGTTGTTTTTTTTTTTGTTTTTTTTTTCCTTGAGACAGTGTTTTGCTCTGTGGCCCAGGCTGGACTGCAGTGGCGCAGTCTCGGCTCACTGCAACCTCTGCCTCCCAGGTTCAAGCAATTCTTGTGCCTCAGCCTCCTGAGTAGCTGAGATTACAGGTACGTGCCACCACACCCAGCTAATTGTTTTATTCTTTGTAGAGATGGGGTTTCACCATGTTGGACAGGCTGGTTTTGAACTCCTGGCCTCCAGTGATCCATCTGCGTTGGCCTCCCAAAGTGCTCGGATACAGGTGCCCAGCATCCACCGTGCCCAGCATCCAAAGAGAGAATCTTCTTGAGGAACTCAAAAGACTTTTATCTTTTGGACAAGCAGTTCATATTTCTGCATTAATTAGGGATTTTCACATTTTACTTCATTTTACACTACTTTTTTGTTGTTGTTGTTCAGTGGTATGACATTTTCACCAAGGCACTGAAAATTCCATTTGCACTAATGTCCAATGTCATATATTCCTACCATGTTGCAAATATAGTTCATTTGCCCAGCTTTATTGAGGTATAATTCACAAATAAAAATTATATATATTTACTAGGTACAACATGATGTTTTGCTATCCAAGCATACCTCATGTAATTGCACTACATTTTATTGTACTTCACAGATACTATGTTTTTTACAAATTGAAAGTTTGTGCCCACCCTGTGTCAAACAAATCTCTCGGCATCATTTTTCTTTTTTGAGACAGAGTCTCACTCTGCCGCCCAGGCTGGAGTATAGTGACACGATCTCAGCTCACTGCAACCTCCTGTGGCAGGCCAGGTCTCACCAATGCAGGCTTCCATAACAACTCTTTCAGTAATGACTGAGTGGTTATATTAAATATTAAAAGCCAGTGCCCTTATAGAAAGGCTGGGATATAACAAAAGGCCATCGAAACGTTTGCCTAGGCTTTTCCTGGGCCTTAAAGCATGAGAAAATAATGAAGGAATTCTTTTTTTTTTTTTTTTTTTTTGGGACGGAGTCTCGCTCTGTCGCCCAGGCTGGAGTGCAGTGGCGGGATCCTGGCTCACTGCAACCTCTGCCTCCCAGGTTCAAGCAATTCTCCTGTCTCAGCCTCCTGAGTAGCTGGGATTACAGGCGTGCGTCACCACGCCTGGCTAATTTTTTTAATTTTAGTAGAGACAGGCTTTCACCATGTTGGCCAGGCTGGTCTCGATCTCTTGACCTCATGATCCACCCGCCTCAGCTTCCCAAAGTGTTGGGATTACAGGCATGAGCCACCGCATTCAGCCCATAACGAAGAAGATCTTAACAGGACCCATTTAGGATTAAACAAGTTTTATTGTGGGTCTGAAGAAACTCCCCAGGTCTCCACAGACAAGTTTACTGAGAGTCTGAAAGAACTTCCCAAACCTCCATGATTTAGCGGAAGCCAAGATAAGGGTAATCACCCGGCACCGAGGCAGAGCTTGCGGTGAGCCGAGATTGTGCCGCTGCACTCCAGCCTGGGGAACAGAGCAAGATTCCATCTCAAAAAAA